TCAACAAAATAATACTAAACAGTATTGAACAGTATATTAAGAGGATTATATACCATGATCAAATTAGATTTATCCATAGGTAGTTCAACATATTCAAATCAGTAAACATGCCATAATGAGAAAATAATCACATTATCATCTCAGTCGATGCAGAGGAAGCATTTTACAAAATTTGACAATCTTTGATATAACTCTCAATAAATGAGGTATAGAAAGAATGTATCTCAAAAAAATAAAAGGTCTTATATAACAAGTTTACAACTAACATACTATGATCAGGGACAAGACAAAGGTGTCCACTCTCATCACTTCTATTCAATTTAGTGCTGGGAACCCTAGCCAGCGCAATTAGTCAAGAAAAAGAAATAAAAGGCATCTGTATCAGAAAGGAAAAAGTAAAATTGTCTTTGTTTGCAGAACATATTATCTTAATAGAAAATCCTAAAAACTCCAATGAACTTAGTAAAGTTGCAGGCTACAAAATCAAAATCTGATTGCATTTTTATGCACTAACAACAAACTATCTGAAAAAGAAATTAACAATCCCATTTCTAATTACATCAAAAGGAATAAAATGTGTAAGAATAAATAAAAGAGGTAAAAGATCTGTACAATGGAAATTACAAAACATTTCTGAAGAAACTGAAAAAGACATAGATAAATGGCAAGATATCTCATGTTCATGGATTGAAAGAATTAATAGTCTTAAAATATCCCTAGTACACAAAGTGATCCACACATTCAATTCCATCTTTATCAAAATTCAAATGGCATTTTTTACAGAATAGAAAAAAGTAGGCATAAAATTCATATGGAATCATAAAAGACCCCAAATCGCTAAAGCAATTTTGAGCAAGAAGTGCAAAGTTGCAGGCATTTTACCTCCTCATTTCAAACTATATTTCAAATCTATAGTAATCAAAATAGTATGATATTGGCATAAAAACACACAAATCAATGGAAGAGAATAAAGAACCCAGAAATAAACCCACATATATACGGTCAACTAATTTTTTACAAAGTCACCAATAATACACAATAGGAAAAAGATAGCATCTTCAATAAATAGTATTAGAAAATTGGACTGTCATATGCAAAAGAATAACTCTGGATCCTTATCTCATACCATACATAAAAATCAATTCAAAAGGACGAAAGATTCAAATTAAGGACCTGAAAATGTAAAACTCTTAAAGAAAACACAGAGGAAAAGATCATTGAGATTAGTCTTGTCAGTGATTTTTTTGGATCTGACACCAAAACCAAATAGGTAACATTATATAAAACTAAAATGTTTCTGCACAACAAAGGAAACCATCAACAAATTTAAAACGCAACTTATAGAATGGGATGAAGCATTTGCAAAATATATACTCTATAAGGAGTTAAAGCCAGGATATGAAAAGAAATCTTACAACTAATAGAAATAATAGTAATAATCAGGTTTTAAGCAAAGGGCCTGAGTAGACATTTTTCCAAAGAAGACATAAATACGGCCATCAGATATATGAAAATCTCCTCAACATCAATAATCATCACAGAAATGCAAATAAAAACCATAATTACATATCACCTCAAACCTGTTTAAGATGACTATTATCAAAAAAAGGATAAGAAATGTTGGCAGGGATATGGAAAATTTGGAATCTTGTACACAGCTGGTAGGAATGCAAAATGATACAGCTGCTATGGAAAACAGTATGGGGGATTCCTCAAAAAGTAAAAAATAGAACTACCACAGGATCCAGCAATCTCACTTCTGGGTAAAGGTCCAAGAGAACTGAAGTCAGGATCGCAAAGACAAATTAGCCCTCCCATGTTCATAACAGCACTATTCACAATAACCAAGATATGGAAACAACATAAGTTTCTGTTGATGGATGGTTGAAGAAAGCCTATAAGGGAATATTACTGAGCCTTCCAAGGTCTGCAAAATATTGGATATGGATCAAGTTGGGGCCATTATGCTAAGTAAAATGAGCCAGTTACAGAAAGAAAAATACTGGATGAATCTATTTATATATGGTATCTAAAATATTCAAATTCCTAGAATTGGTGAGTGGGACTCAAGGGGAGATGGGAAGTTATGAATCAGCAGGCATGAAGTTCTAATTAAGCAAGATGAATAAGTTATACAGATCTGCTTTACAATATTGTACCTATGGTCAACAATATTGTATTATACACTTGAAAATTTGTTATGAGGATAGACCTTATGTTAAGTGTTTTTACCACAATAAAATTAATTTTTTTAAAGATTTATTTATTTATTTGACAGACAGAGATCACAAGTAGGCAGAGAGGCAGGCAGAGAGAGAGGAGGAAGCAGGCTCCCCGCTGAGTGGAGAGCCTGATGCAGGGCTAGATCCCAAGCCTGGGATCATGACCTGAGCTGAAGGCAGAGGCTTTAACCCACTGAGCCACCCAGGTGCCCCTAAAATTAATTTTAAAAAGACTGAAAATAAATTAACCAAGCACAAACTCAAGACAAGAAAGATAAGATCAATAGAGAATGCCTAAGAGAGAAGAGGAAGGAAAGAATAAAGTGCAGCTATTGATTAAATAGAATTCTAAAAAATAAATGGGAAGACTCAAATTCTGTTTGTGTTTAAAAAGTACTGACAAGATAAATGAAGAAAAAGAAGATATAAATAAATTTCAGAGTGAAGGAGAGAAATGTAATAAAAAACATAGTAGATACAATAGTATTCTTAAACATAAGACAGAATTGGGAATTCCCCCCCTTAGGTGAACTTTCAAAAAAAAGGAGACACTCTGTTCCTCATTTTATGAGGCTATTTTAATCTTGATATCAAAACCAGACAAAGGCAAAAAAAAGAAGAGAATTGAAATTATTAGACCAATCTTATCTATAAATAAATATATATGTAATCTTAAATAACTATTAATAAGCTAAATACAGCAATATATGTTTAAAATTTCTCATAACACTTAATCATTTGGGGTTTACCTAGAATGTAAGTATGATTTATCATTAATATATTCATTGTTATAATGTACCCAATTAATACACTTAGACAATCTTTATGTTTACCTCAACACATACAGAAAAGCAGTAGATAAAATTCAACAGTGGTTCATGATTAACAAAAAATCCTCAAAGTAAACTGGTAATTGATGGGAAAAATTTTCTGGCAACTTTTTAATGGTCTCTATCAAAATAGACATATTTGGCTTTATAGTCCAATAGTAGAATCATTCTCTTTGAAATTAGAAAAAGCCTATCATTGGCTTCTATTCAATATTATCCCTCTCTTAGGCAGTAAAATAAAAGATGGCACAAGGATTGAAAATAAACAAAACTGCTACACACACACACACACACACACACACACTTATACCTAAGGTGAAGTGAAATGCAAAATAATGTCTTGCCCAAGGACAACTGGTGAACAGTAAAGCCAGGAGTTCACAAATAATTTGGCTCCAGTATCCAAACTCAACAACTTGTGCTACTGTCCAGTGGCCCAGAGAATTGAGGAAAGGACTAGTCATTTCAAATGCAATCTAAATTGCAGTCTTGCTTCTCATAAATTTCCTCACCAGTTATATAATTAACCAGAAATTTTGCATGAATATTATTAGCAAAATTTTATTTCTCTTTTAGTAGATTCAGTTCTTTGTGTTTTTAGATTTGTCCACTCTTTTGATATGATAGTGTCTCAGTGAATATTGTTGGGTCTTTGTGTATGTAGGATAGTTTCTTTGAAGTTCATTTTCTGTGGATACATTCATATGAGTAGTATTAACAGGTAAAAAATTGTGAGCTATGGCTATTGGCATAAATTGACAAATTTCTAAAGCAATTTGTGGTGACCCTGGAATTTGATGAATGAGTTTCTAAATATATGATTAACTCATGAATTGAAGCTTCTTTAAATGGTGCTTACACTTGGATAGTATTGTTTTGCTAACTTGTGAATGTGGTATATTGAAGTCATTCTTTAAAATAGGTTTCTATTGCAAAATAAATTGTTAATTTTACTTTATTTTGGTTTTATTATTTTTTAGTATACACACAGTTATTATTGAAGCTAGAAGTTGGGAGCTTAATCATACAATTCTAATATTTTATATGTTTACAATTTTCATAATAAATTCTGAGAAATGCTTTTTTCAAACTGCTTGAATTAATGGATAAAAAGCAATATTATATAAGCAAAAGATGAGTTTTTATTATTTTTTTTTAAAGATTTTATTTATTTGACAGACAGAGATCACAAGTAGGCAGAGAAGCAGGCATAGAGAGAGGAGGAAGCAGGCTCCCTGCTGAGCAGAGAGCCCGAAGCGGGGCTCAATCTCAGGACCCTGGCTGGGATCATGACCTGAGCCGAAAGCAGAGGCTTTAAACCACTGAGCCACCCAGGCGCCCAAAAGATTCTCTTTTAAAAGTAGATTTCAAATGTTCATATGGTGAATATTTGTTACATTTGATTTTCCTCAATTAGAAAAAGAAAGGGGTCATCAAGTCATTTCATATATATATATGTACATATCATATACATAAATATACATCATATGTGTACATATCATAATACATCATATATATGTCATCTATATATGACAGTAAATGTCATTTATGATTATATATATGTATATATATGACAGTAAAGCTTAGAGGATAAGATCATAGAGTTTGGAACTAAACTACTGCATTTAAATATGACTCTACCATATACTAGCTCTGAGACCTCAAACAAATTACTTTTCTTAGCTTCAGTTTTCTCTGTAAAAATGGTCATACTTATTTTTATTTTTGTTATTAAAAATTTATTTTTAATTTTGGAGCATTGCCTAGAGTGATACTTCTATTTTGTTCCTTTGTTTCTGGGTAGGTGGGAACAAATTGTTCAAAATATATAGTCTTTATGGGAGAGAGAAGATATGGGCAAAGAAGGTATCAAAGAGCTCTTTCTCTGATTTTGTCTTGAACTTTCCTTATATCCTTGAATCTTTATTCTTTTCTTCTTGTTTTCCAGATTAAATGCATTTATGGAAAAAGAAAAATTGGATAGTAAGATAATAGTGGAATATTATAACACTGCAATGGATCCCTCAGCAGAAAACAGTATGTATGTAAACAAAGTATGGGTTCAGTGTGAGAGTGAAAGCTGTTTGAAATGGAGATTGTTGTCAAGTGAGGATGCAGACAGAGTTGACCACAATAAACCATGGTACTGCTTCATGAACGCTGATTCAAGATACAATAACTGCTCTGTTTCTGAAGAAGACTTCCCTGAAGAGTCTCAGCTTCATGAAAGTGGATTTAAGATTGTCTATTCACAGCTCCCTTTTGGAAGCCTGGTTTTGGTAAAATTACAGAATTGGCCAAGGTAAAGTTGTTGTTATTTCAGAATAAACTATTTTAAGTTATGGTCTTGCTAAGTTGATGAATTTTTAAAACTTTTCAAAGAATCAACTTTTTTTCTACTGTTTGTCTAATTTCTTATTTATTGTTTCCTGGTCTCATTATTATTTCCCTGACATTTGGGGGTCTAATTCTTTTTTTTTTTTTTCTAGTTTCTTGGGTTGGAAACTTTAAGTAACTGATTTAGATCTTTTTTCCTCTTGATATAGGAAATTACAGCTAAAAATTTCTCTTTAAAGACAACATTAGCTATATCCTACAAATTTTGGTATATTGTGTTTTACTACCACTCAGTTTCAAGCATTTACTAATTATCTGTGTGATGTCTTCTTTCCAGATGATCTGTTAGAAGTATATTTTTACCTGATATTTGGGGACTTCTAAATATCTTATTGTTACTGAGCTCTAATTTAAATCTATTGCCCAAAGATTATATTTATGACCATTACTTTGAATTCTTTATCATGCCTATTACTTATCTCTGTTTCATTTAGCTGTTTTGCTGTGGTTTTGTTCTTTGTGACATATTCCTCTTCCTCTTCATTTTGTCTAACTCTCTTTGTTTCTGTGTATTAGAAAAGTCAGCTATGTCTCCTGATCTTGAAAGTCGTGGCCTTATGAAAAAGAGGTCCTGTGGTGGCACATAGTGCAGTGCTCCCTCTTTCTCAGATCCAGGGGTGTGTCCTGTATGCGTTGCTTGCACCCTACTATTATGGCTGAGCTGTGTTTGCCTTTAGTCCAGTTAGCTGCAATGGCCCACTTTGCTTGTTGTGGGTACCTGGGCAGCAGAGTTTTATCCTTGTGCCATTGAGGGGTCAGTCTGGAGCTGCCATGGGCTTCTGGTTGGGTGGCAACAGCAATCAGACCAGATGTCTGTCCCCAGTCTGCCCCGGGGAGGCTGTAGTTGGACTGATCAACAGGACATTTTCTCTGTGCAGCCAGCTGTAAATTTTGGCTCCTGGGACTATGGGTGCAACTAGTATGTGTGGTTATCTTCCCCTCTCCCAAGGAAGAAGTCATTTTGGAGTGGCACCAGTCCCTGTGGGGGTTGCTTGCAGAGTAGAAGCTGCTTTGGAGGAGGTAGAAGCTGCTTTGGAGGACACCCGCTGAGTCTCTTTTGTACTTTTATATGAAATGAATTCTGTTCCTTAAGAAGAGGTTTTTTTCAGTCTGTTTTCTCTATGTTGTTCAGATTGGATCATTTCTTGCCTCTTGCATATTCATTCTGCTGTAGTAAATATCCATTGAGCTTCTTGTTTTAGTTCTTGTATTTTCAGGTGTAACATTTCCATTTGGTTCTCTCTAAATACCTTCTATTTATTTGTTATATTTTCCTTTTTTTTTTTTTCATTTTGTATCTTATTTAAATCTTTTTAGCAGGCTGCCCCTACTACTGCACTGGAGAGATATGAGGGAACCTCTTTGTTACTGCCAGGTTGGGAGTGGAAGTCTAGGTTTTCTAGTCAGCCTCCACTTACTCTCTGGAAAGGGTGGGATGCCTAATTACTGCTGGGAAGGGATTAGAGTTAAGGCTTCTCACTCACCAACTTGGTTGGGAAAGGTAGGGGAACCTTATTCTCACCTCCACTAATACCATGGCGGGGAGAACCATGTTAATTCTGGAAGGTGATAAAAATTCCAGCTTCCCAGTAGTCCTCTTCCACCACCATCTGAGTGGGGACACAGTGGGAGCTTTATTACTGCTGAGTGCGTTGAAGTCCAGGCTCAACACTTGCCCTTTGTTAAGGATGGAGATGGGGATCTGTAGAAATTTCCAGGGTATTTGGCTGGGAAAAAGTAGCTATTGCTTTAAAGTTTTCTGTCTTGCTAGGTTGCCCCTATCCTGGTCCTTTGACTAAAAAGACCAGGCTTCATATGGACTTTTGTTCCTTTGCACCCATTGGTATCTCTGGGTTGCTGACTTCTTTAGCACCCAGTCTAGGATATAGGAGGCAAACATAAACTCAGGGAACTCCCTGCCATGTCACTCTTCAGGTCCTCAGGCCCTTCTCTGGTTTTTCTTTTCTTCATCCTTTAGAATCTTCTTATGTTTATTTAATGTATAATACTTAGGAATTTTTGGTGTACTTAGTGGGAAGAATATAGAGAATTGAGTCTACCTCAACTTGTCCAGAAATGGAATCTGCAGAATAGATTTGCTTTAGTTTTTTTGTCTAAATCATGTGCCCAGGGCCCTTTATTCTCTTATTTTCTCAGAGCATCAAAAATATGAACTTGGTGTCTGAGATTTCCTAGTTTTTTCTTCCCTAATTTTATTTTTTAAATTTTAAAATTAAATTATTTTCATATTTTAACAAACCTTATTTTCTAGAGCAGTTTTAAGTTTGCAGCAAAACTGAATGGAAAAGTGCAGGGTTTCCACATTCCCCCCCTGCCCCATACAAACTCATATACCATCAACATTCCAAATCAGTTTGGCACATTTGTTACAATCTCTGAACTGGCATTTACCCATCATTTTCGACCAAAATCCATAGTGAATCATTAGGATTCACTCTTTGTGCTGTACATTCAATAGGTTTTTGACAAATGTATAATAACATGTATTCACCATTATAATGTCTATCATACAGAATAGTTTCACTGGCCTAAAAATCTCCTCTGCTTCACCTATTCATTCCTCCCACCACCCCCTGGCAACTGGGGATCTTTAGATGTCCATAGTTTTGCCTTTTCCAGAATGCTGTGTTGTAATCACAATATGTAAACTTTTCAGATTGGCTTCTTTCACTTAGTATTTCCTCTGTGTATTTTCATGAACATACATGGTTGTTTTAATTTGCATTTCCCAGATGACGTATGATGTGGAACATCTTTTAATATTCTTATTTGCCATATGTGTATCTTCTTTGCCATATGTCTACTCAGATCTTTTTGCCTATCTTTTAGGATTAAAAGTGGTTTTGAGTGGTTCATTTTCTTAGAGAGCTTAAGAGAACTTTGAATATTTTGGATACCAGTCATTTATCAGATATCTGTGTTGCAAATATTTTCTCCCAGTCTGTGACTTATGTTCTCATTCTCTTACTAGTATATTTTACACAGCAGACATTCTTAATTTTAATGAAATCCAACTTTTTCTCATGGATGGTGCTTTTGGCGTGTATCCCCACTTTTATTTGTGCCCTCACTTTTCTTTATTCATATTGATCCTTTCTTCTTCAATTTGGTTTATACTCCCAGCAGTTTCTCATCAGTGCAAGCTCTTGTCAGTGTAAGTATTAAGTGTTTGCAGAGTCCAGAGCGCTCCAATAACTCCGGGTTTTGTTGTGATCCTCCTCACAATTTTGGCTGCTGTGCTCATGTTGACCTGCTGCACTTTTCAATAAGTACTCCTTGTGGTTTTGAGGTTCTTATTTCACAAACCCATTGCCTTTTCCCTCCCACCCTGCTTTCCCTCATACAGATGCTAGTGATATGTGGGTCTTGGAACTGGTGGTAGTTTGTACCTGCCTGCTCCAATTTTGGTAGTTTCTGTGGATAGTTTATCATTTACTTTTGTTATAGATGTTGTGTGTCAGGTTTTGACTGTGCTGTTATAGTTGTTCTACCTGTACTTAAAATTTCAGGAGATTCTAAAACCGTAACACCATTGTTACTATCTTCCCAGAATCCCTTGCTATTTTGCATTACATTCTCCTACTTAACATTTTCAAAGCTGAGATACTCTGGCTCATATTACCTCATTTCCATTCACAGTCAGCTGTTCTCCATGAAGAATATAAAATGTTTGCTGTCATAGAGAGACTGTGATGGACTTTCTTTAACATACCGCACACACACTCACATATACACACATAGGCACGCACACACATACAGACAAGAGACCTTCAAATCAAATCTACATTTGTGTTCTTGTTCTGTCACTTACTATTGTGGGCTGAATTGTGTTCCCCAAAAGTCATACTTAAAAGTTGAAACATCAGAAATGACTATATGTGGAATCAGGGCCTTGAAAGAGGTGATTAAGTAAAAATAGGCCATTAGGGTGGGCCCTACACCAATCTGACTGGCATTCTTATAAGAAGAGGAAATTTCGACCCACAAAGAGGCATCAGGGATTCACATGTACAGAGGAAAAATTATTTGAAGACATAGCAAGAAGGAAGCCAAAGAGAGGCTTCAAGGGAAACCATCCCTGCTGACCTATTGATCTTAGACTCAAAGCCTCCAAAACTACAAGAAAATAAATTTCTGTTGTTTAAGCCACTCACTTTGTGGTATTTTTCTGTGGCAGCCTTAGCGAACTAACACATTTAATACCTTTGCAAATGTGGAAGTCTCTCTTGAGATACATACCTTTTGCTACTGAGGACTTTTCTAGAGATCAACTGTGAAATGTTATATATGTATTATTTATTTAAATATTAAAAATATTATTTTCTTTTGTAAAATAATTGGGATGGGCACAAAGAGAAACTAGATAGCTATGTAAAAACAAATATCTTAAAAGACATGAATATGAATGCTTATCTTATGAGGTTACTTATGAAGGTGTTTGTAGTCCCATATCATTTTTCAAATCTAAAATTAATATTTTTGAAAGCAGAGAGTTTGTATTTTCTATTGGAAATTCTGAAGGTTCAATAACTAATTCAAGAAATGTATTTGTTTCTTGTCACTATATCTGAAATATTGTTAGAAATCTGATTAGGAATTTCTTTTGCAGTTTTGTGCTTATAACTGAGGATTAGGACTTGAAATACAAATGAAACATGTTTTACTCCAGGCCTTAAATTATCTCTAATCTATGATTAGAACCATCAAAATACCTGCAAAATGCAGCTGTATCTACTTCTTTCTATTTGGAAAGAATAGAATGCATTTGGCTAAGTAGTAATATGTATTCTTCTTTGTGAACTAAGTATAGTTGAGCACAGGCTTAAAATATAGCCTTAAAATATAAAAAAATCTAGTTATATTTCTTATTCAGTGCTACAGATA